ACCCCCCCCCCCCCCCCCCCGCCTCAAACTAGTGCAATGGCACCCAACAGGCACTATCAGCAAACTCCAACTCTTTTTAGACCACTTTGTACACATCTCTCACAACTTTGAAAAGTTCCTAGGACCTTCTAAACACTATGAAACTTTAGAAAACACATCTCTAACTCAAAATGACCAATCTCACTTACCTAAGCTACCCAAACTCAATTCCACCTTTTCTAACTTCCATATCAGCAAACCAACATCATGTACAAGTCATAATACACCAAATAACTCGCTCCAACATCCCAGTTTACTCCCAAACTTTCTGTTTCAAAATCTCACCATACAAAACCTCATTTTTGACCAAAAACACCTAATCACTCTCTCCAACATGCCCATAAACAGTTCTACACCAGATTTTCTTCTTTTGGCAGTCTAGACAAGTCATAATAACATGCCCATAAACAGTTCTACACCAGATTTTCTTCTTTTGGCAGTCTAGACAAGTCATAATAGGTCTCCTAATCATTTCCCAACTTTCCAAAACATTCCCCACCTCTTACCTTAAATTCTCACTACTCAAAACACCCTTTTTAACTCAAAAACAACTCAACTTCAACAATGGACTACCCCCTTTCTGCACATCATTTTTTACCCATATAACATCATTTTTTCAGCAATGGACTACCCCCTTTCTGCACTTCAACAGTCCTACAATAGTTGTTCTCTCACACTAACCCCTGTTTCCCAAATTCATCTATTAAAACCTCCTTTTTAGGCATAAAAACTCAAGTAAAAAACCCTCCCTCAATACCATAACAGATTGGACAACATTTAACATCTAACAACAACATTCCAAACTAGATTCAGTTCCAAATTAAACTAGCAAATCATACAAACATCATCCAATCAAGAATCAATATTCCAAAGCACTTCAAATTCATAAATACCACTTTCACAAAACAATTCAACCACATGCATTTATTTCATAAACCGTTGTTTTTGAATTTTTGTTTCTGGTGGGTGAGAAGCTTATTGCGGCTACATGGTTACTGTTTACTCAAATTTTACTTAGCGGGGTGAGGGGAAAAAAATATTTCCGTGCTAACTGATTGGCTATTTTTCTCTATCAATCTCTGACATTTTCCTATATTTAGGACACGTGTTATGCCTCATTTCTAATATTCTCATGTGCACTTTTGAATATATTATTTGTTTGTTTTCTTAGGTCCTGGTTCTCGGCCGAGAGAAAGAAGGTATACCTGTGGATGTAATTCATATTTTGGATGCTTGCATCGAAATTCCGCAATTTGGAGTTGTTAGATCTCTCAATGTTCATGTCAGTGGTGCAATTGCTCTCTGGGAGTATACTCGACAGCAGAGATCTCAATAGCCCGTGACTGGGAGACTAATTTTGCAAGCCAATAACGTTGTACTACACTTGTAAAATAAGTTAAACTATAGGAATTTCCTTTTGTTGTAAACTAGTTTGTTTTGGTTTTGTTACTCTACAAACGTGCAAGAGTTATATATAGGAGAGGTTTTTCAAGGTTAGGGTTTTGCTCTTTAAATTATTTACTTGAAGAGTGGTCAAGCGCCACAAAGGGGACTACCAACGCAAGTGGTTATAGTACGAGGTTTATATTTCCAATAACTTTGAGGCTTTTTGTTAATCCTTTAGCTTTTGTAAAGTATTTCACATATGTGAGCATAGAATAAAAGTTGAGGGATATAAATAGATTTTTATCAATGACTATATAATCTGGATATTTTCATTTGGTTTAAAACCACCGAAAAGAGAGAAAAGTCTGGATGAAAGAGTTGAATCCACTGTTCTTACTTTCTGTGCTCATACCTGAAAAGAATGTGGAAAGTCTGATTTAAATGTGACACAATAATGATACTAATTTTTATGATAATTTTCAAAGGCTTTCTCCTAATCAATTATGTTGCAACATAACTTTTATCTAAATAAGTTTCCTTTTCACTTATTTTTAACCTTTTTTTTCTCTTATTTCTTTCCTTTACAACAAATGAAGTTAAATGAGTCTCAGAAGTCCTTTTTCCTATTTATTGATCTGAATGTCTCGATGTATATTCTCCACCTTAAAAACTTTTACAGGCATACGTGGAAAAGTCGATTAGTTATATCATTTTGCTTTCATTCGTCGCCAGTCGTCAACAATTTTCTATTATTGGTATTGTTTACATAAGAGATAGTTTTCCATTATAGCATATATTTTTAAAAAAAGAGAGAGAAATGTATTAGTAAATCTGAGAAATAATATTATTTCATCGTTACTGTTTGCATTTACGCTATTTTTTTTTAAAATTCATTTCCCCATAGGCATTAAAATAAAAAAGGTTAGTCAATGGAGTATTAATGTTTTTTTATCAATAAATATTACTTGTTAATATTTTGTTCAAAATCATTTTTTATCTTTCATTCTAAACTCATCTTATAATCCAAATGTTAATCATCTTTCATTCTAAATTCGTCAAGCTAACCTTATAAACCAAATGTTAAAAGAGAGAGTTGAACTCGTTTTCACCTTCTTTTCCAACTTATAAGTCTTTCAATGAAGTATTAATGATATTCTATTTGAGATTAGCCATGTTATTAGAACGTTGCCTGGAAAGAGTGGGGCACTGCCTACGTGAAGATAATAGAGAATATATCTAAATTGAATATTTGAAAATCGTTGCACACCATAATCGAAAGATCAGTAATTGCAATCCTTGAAAAGAAATTGCATGTGTACAACAAAAATGTTCTAGGAAAAAAATATATAAGAGAACAAATATGAAATAAGACCAGTGATGTACAGTAACCTTAAGACGCATACGCATTAGCAGCAATAAGTGAGGACCATTTCAGTGATGTGTGATGGTAGATAAGAAGTTTAATCCAATCAAACGATATCAATTCTTATTTGAATCGAGATTGGTGACATTATACCTTGAGAGATGTGAACCACCAGGATAAAATTGACCCTGAAGCTAATCTAGTTGATAACACATTCCAAATGAAACTTCTCCCTTTCCATACCAGAGAATTAAACTGCATCATTCCATAGTATCAGGACCTGTAACAGCAGATCATTCTCATTCCATTTCCTGAAAAATCTGCACCCATATGTTTCTTCTTGTTCTCCTTTTTCTTGGCTTTTGAACATGACCTTAGGAACCTCGGAATCAGTAGTTTCCAAGTGCAGCTGCCAAAGCATGTTGGCTTTTTCATGTTGGAAGGGGTTATCTGCAAGACAAGGAAACGGCCCTGTAATGTAATGATAAATTCAGAAACATCGTTTACAAAAATGGGTAAAAAATCAAGCATAACTGGCACTTTATTTTCAATACATTTTCAAAATCACATTTTTCTGTTCTTTTATTTGAGTGTAACTTCTCCCTAAAATTTCAGACATATTAAGTACGAGTCTTTAAAAAAAATTGCACTATTTCTATTTCTCCAAAATTTAAATATTTCTAGAAGTTCTTTTATTAGTAATAATAATAGATAAAAAGTTATTCTAATGATAAATTTAACAAGAAAATTTTACAATTAAAAGTAATTTATTGCATTCAGACTTTGGTCAATATATTTTTTCCCATTTATCGGCATTACTAACAAATACTTAAAAAAAACATATTTAAATTTTAGATAAAAATAACAAAACAAAATGTTTATAAGAAATATACTTAATATTTTAAAAAATTTCCGTGATCGCAAAAATGTATTTTACCTTTATATACAATGTGTGTCTCAAACTGATTTTGTAGCTTTCTATTATTTTTCATTAATTAATAACTCATTGGTTTGTAGCTTTCAATTTTTTTAATCAATCAATAAAGCGTCTCAAAAATCTCTCATAAAGACGCTAATTAAAAGTTTAAAGAAGGAATTCAATTCGTTGAAAATTATATAAGAACACATTTTTGTAAATTTCTAACATCAAGTAAGTTATACAGTGTTTGGAGTCCATCATAATCCCTACTAATCTTTAATGACAGATATAAAAAAGAAGTTACTAGTTCCATCCCATAAATCTGAAAAGATGAATAATTTGACAAGGTTGGTTCATAGAAAAACTCTGATATTAACTAATAATGTATGGTACGAAAGATAATTAAAAGAAAAATGGTATGCACCCTCTTCATAAATTTAAGATGATAATACAGAATGAATGTGTACCTGGGTTGGTGGTTGAAGATTGGTGTTTGTAACCCACTTGGAGAATGAAGGTGCTGATAATGCTCCTCTTGCAGATTCACGTAGCAGATGAGAATAGCTAAGCAACCTTGCTCTTCTTCCACATCCCATACTGATAGGGCCATGAATCTGATACTGATGTTGAATTGAAGATGATCTCTTCTTCCTAGGCTTCTCAACGTATACCCTCACTACAACCTTTTTGTCATTGCAGAAACTTACCTATAAATCATATCACATATCAAACTCATATATCACACACACCACAAAGCCACTCACACAACATCAACAACTCATTTACCTGTTTCGTTGGCATCTTACGATAATGGAGGATGCCAAGGCTTTATGACAATTTACATAACCATATATATATATATATATATGCATGATGCAGGCCTAGGACAAGGAGATGTTACTGATAGATACCAATGTTTATGTAGAATTTATAAGTATATGTGTTTCTTTGGGTGGAACGAAATTCCATTTGAGGAGATTATCAATTTATTTATATCGTGATCTTCTATGATGGGGCCCAGTTATATGGTGCAGCGAACACATCAGCTTAAACCTGGGATTTTATATGGGCAGCTTGTTCTTTGCTTTGTTTTCCCTCAACAACATTCATTTGATTTTTACATTCACCCACCTCACACATCTGTTTAAATACTTATATGTACTATTCTTATTCTTTTTTTTTAAGGTATTTAGAAAATGTTCAAGTGACTAATTGAACTCCTAAATCATGAATAATATTGCAATAAATTAAATATATATATATGTTACCAGTTTATTTAAATGATATTTTTGGGTCCTTGGCATTGTAATTAATTGGACAGTTCATGCCACGGTAACTATGAAATTAATGCAAACTTAATTTTTAAAGATGCCCTACTGGGCCTCTTCAGTTTTTTAATGAAAAATTAAATATGACTATTTTTTGCATTGTATTCTAACTACACCCCATATATTTAAAAAGATAATCTGGCTCTGCGAGTATTTTATGGTGAGGGTCCTGGTCCCTCCTTCATTAATAATTCCAGAATTCTGGATTGTATCTCAAAATATATAATGATTTTTTTATTTTAAAAATAATTTTTCAAATATATATAAAAAAGAAGTTCTATATTGGTAATAAATTCAAATTTTTTTTTACTGGTACCTATTACAAAACGCACAAACATTGTTTTACTAGTAATTGTTAAGATATGTTAAAGGATATTAGACAATCAAATATTATGTTAGTTATAATTTAGATATTATTATAATTTGTGTAGATTTGTATACTTGTTATTCCTTTAATATATATGGTACTTTACTTTTTGGAATAACATATTAGAATTATTCTTTAAACCTTATTTTATATGGTATCAAGAGTCAAACACTTATATCCTCTACAATATAGGAATCAATGTTTCTTTTTTCATTGAATATTTTTGATGGTTTCTTCGGATAAAAATCAATCGGAAAAACATGATTTTGAGACTTCCGCTGCTACCCTTATGCACGAATCGCTCACCCTTGAACGACTTGATGGCACCAACTATGTTGAGTGGTCTTTGAACGCACAAAACAAGATCAGAGGCAGAAAACGTTGGGGTTACATCTCTGGAACAAAGGCTACATCAGAAAACAAAAAATCTGATGAATATGAAGCATGGGAAGATGAAAACTTCCTAGTCAAGTCTTGACTTTTGGACTCCATGACGAAATAAATTAGATCCCTCTTTATTCACTTAGCTACAACAAAGGACATCTAGGACACTATGCATCAAACATACTTTGTCAACCGGGATGTGTCCCGATCATATCAATTATATCGTGAGGTAATCTCTATTAAACAAAATGGAGGATTTGTTATTACATATTTTAGTAAATTGCAAAGATTATGGCTAGAGTATGATACTATCATGAATTGTACCATGGAATGTCCTAAAGATGTTGAGAAGTATAATAGGATGATTAATTCTCAACGAGTTTATGTTTTTTTGGCTGGCCTGGATACACATTTGGATGTCGTTTGTGGTCGTATCCTTGCTACCACTCCCCTTCCAAATGTTCAATTTGTTTATGCAACTGTTTGTGTTGAGGCAAATCGCCAAGAGGCTATGCTTGATAGTGAGTCTAGTATGGGAACTTCCTTTATTGTTAAGAAGTTTACTAAGAAAGGAATCCACAAGTGTAGCCACTACAATGGGGATAATCATGTCATTGAGACATGTTTTAAACTCCATGGCTATCCGAATTGGCATCCAAAAGGCAAAACTACTCCCAATGCCAAGGTAGAAGCTGCTTCCAAGAGTCATATTTCTACTATTGTTGGATTTGTGACCAAGTCAAGTATATCTAACTCTGATCTTAATTTTTCTGTTATTACTAGAGATAGTAATTGGATAATTGATTTAGGTGTTACTGATCATATGACATGTGATCCTCACAAATTTACTAATATTTTCCCTAATTGTTCTAAAACTGTTATTATTAATGTGAATGGGTCTCATCTCCANTTATCGTGATCTTCTATGATGGGGCCCAGTTATATGGTGCAGCGAACACATCAGCTTAAACCTGGGATTTTATATGGGCAGCTTGTTCTTTGCTTTGTTTTCCCTCAACAACATTCATTTGATTGTTACATTCACCCACCTCACACATCTGTTTAAATACTTATATGTACTATTCTTATTCTTTTTTTTTAAGGTATTTAGAAAATGTTCAAGTGACTAATTGAACTCCTAAATCATGAATAATATTGCAATAAATTAAATATATATATATGTTACCAGTTTATTTAAATGATATTTTTGGGTCCTTGGCATTGTAATTAATTGGACAGTTCATGCCACGGTAACTATGAAATTAATGCAAACTTAATTTTTAAAGATGCCCTACTGGGCCTCTTCAGTTTTTTAATGAAAAATTAAATATGACTATTTTTTGCATTGTATTCTAACTACACCCCATATATTTAAAAAGATAATCTGGCTCTGCGAGTATTTTATGGTGAGGGTCCTGGTCCCTCCTTCATTAATAATTCCAGAATTCTGGATTGTATCTCAAAATATATAATGATTTTTTTATTTTAAAAATAATTTTTCAAATATATATAAAAAAGAAGTTCTATATTGGTAATAAATTCAAATTTTTTTTTACTGGTACCTATTACAAAACGCACAAACATTGTTTTACTAGTAATTGTTAAGATATGTTAAAGGATATTAGACAATCAAATATTATGTTAGTTATAATTTAGATATTATTATAATTTGTGTAGATTTGTATACTTGTTATTCCTTTAATATATATGGTACTTTACTTTTTGGAATAACATATTAGAATTATTCTTTAAACCTTATTTTATATGGTATCAAGAGTCAAACACTTATATCCTCTACAATATAGGAATCAATGTTTCTTTTTTCATTGAATATTTTTGATGGTTTCTTCGGATAAAAATCAATCGGAAAAACATGATTTTGAGACTTCCGCTGCTACCCTTATGCACGAATCGCTCACCCTTGAACGACTTGATGGCACCAACTATGTTGAGTGGTCTTTGAACGCACAAAACAAGATCAGAGGCAGAAAACGTTGGGGTTACATCTCTGGAACAAAGGCTACATCAGAAAACAAAAAATCTGATGAATATGAAGCATGGGAAGATGAAAACTTCCTAGTCAAGTCTTGACTTTTGGACTCCATGACGAAATAAATTAGATCCCTCTTTATTCACTTAGCTACAACAAAGGACATCTAGGACACTATGCATCAAACATACTTTGTCAACCGGGATGTGTCCCGATCATATCAATTATATCGTGAGGTAATCTCTATTAAACAAAATGGAGGATTTGTTATTACATATTTTAGTAAATTGCAAAGATTATGGCTAGAGTATGATACTATCATGAATTGTACCATGGAATGTCCTAAAGATGTTGAGAAGTATAATAGGATGATTAATTCTCAACGAGTTTATGTTTTTTTGGCTGGCCTGGATACACATTTGGATGTCGTTTGTGGTCGTATCCTTGCTACCACTCCCCTTCCAAATGTTCAATTTGTTTATGCAACTGTTTGTGTTGAGGCAAATCGCCAAGAGGCTATGCTTGATAGTGAGTCTAGTATGGGAACTTCCTTTATTGTTAAGAAGTTTACTAAGAAAGGAATCCACAAGTGTAGCCACTACAATGGGGATAATCATGTCATGGAGACATGTTTTAAACTCCATGGCTATCCGAATTGGCATCCAAAAGGCAAAACTACTCCCAATGCCAAGGTAGAAGCTGCTTCCAAGAGTCATATTTCTACTATTGTTGGATTTGTGACCAAGTCAAGTATATCTAACTCTGATCTTAATTTTTCTGTTATTACTAGAGATAGTAATTGGATAATTGATTTAGGTGTTACTGATCATATGACATGTGATCCTCACAAATTTACTAATATTTTCCCTAATTGTTCTAAAACTGTTATTATTAATGTGAATGGGTCTCATCTCCTATTGAAGGTGTATGTATTATATCTCTTTCACCCTCCTTATCGATTCTTGATGTTTTATTTGTTCCTACATTGAACTGTAATGTTCTCTTTGTCACCAAATTAACCAAATCACATTCTTGTGTTGCCTCATTTTACCCAACCTGTTGTCTTTTTAAGAACATTCATTCCAAAGAGAAGATTGAAACTTGTAGAGAGAGAGAGAGAATGATTGTATTATCTTGAAAATGTTTCCCAACAAAATCATAAATGAGCGTTGGTTTGTCTTGCGAATGACCACATACACGATAAAAACAAAAAAGGAAATTTGGTTATGGCATAAACGATTGGGACATCCCTCTTTTGGTTATCTAGAAAAATTATTTCCATCATTATCTCATAAATGTAATATTTCTGATCTTTTTGTTAAATTTGTGTAATGACAAAAATTCATTGTGTTGTATTTCCTTTAAGCAATAAAAAAACTGATTTTCCTTTTTCATTAATTCACACAGATGTTTGGGACCTTGCCCCACAATCTACACATAATAGAAAAAAATGGTTTATCAGTTTTGTTGATAATTTTACTTGGATAACCTAAGTATATTTTCTTACACATAAAAGTGATGTGTGTTTGATGTGTTTCGTTCCTTCTATCATATGATAGTTACACAATTTAACACATATTAAAGTCATTCGATCAGACAATAGAGGATAATATTTTAAGACTGAATTAATAGAGTTTATGAACTCTAAAGACATCTTGCATCAAAGTACATGTCCTTATTCACCACAACAAAATGGAGTGGCTGAGAGGAAAAATAGACATATATTAGAGGTGACAAGATCACTTTTGATAGATGGTAATGTCCCATCTCATTTATGGGGTGAGAGTGTGAGCTCTGTCGTTTATTTAATTAATCAAACCCCTTTCTAGTGTGCTGAACTTTCGAAGGCCTTTTGATGTGTTGTC